TGCGTGCGTATATATGTGTGTACACGTATCCCCAAAAAAAACAGGAGTATGCTGCATGCTTACATGCCTACATACATACATACATACATACATGCATACATACATACCTCCGTACATACATAGAAACATGTACGAATACATGTGTTCGCTGTGCATATGTATGTATGTATGTATGTATGTATGTATGCATGTATGTATGTATGTATGTATGTATGTATGTATGTGTGTGCCTATGTGTGTATATGTGTGTGTATATATATATATGTATACACATGTAGATGTACATATGTGTAACCGTCTTATGTACATGTATGCACATTCTGAATGCATTAACTTACTTAATAAGAGAAAACCTAAATCATTAAACCTATGAGTATGCCAGAACCGGAAGACGATGTTCGCAAGGAGCTGGCAGACCTGCCCGATGAGGAAAAGAAGAAGCCCTCCACCAAGACGGCCGGACCGCGTCATGTGTAGGGTCTGAAAATGAGAAAGAATATCTCTTTGTGGCCACCGCAAGGCTTCGAACCCCCATCTAAACCATGCGGTGAAGGAGATATTCACAGAGCAAAATGGCCCAGGTTACACCGGGCTGTCTGTTTATGATTTAGGATATATTCCTGATGTAAAGGGCACTGGGCTCTCTGTGTAAGTTCAGTTGGGTCCAATATCTCGCACAGGATGGAAATACCTGACCTCCATCAATGGTCGAGTTCGACGTGTAGCATATACAGCGTGGGGTGCTGGAATATGGTATTCATGGTATTTTTGTGCGGGTGCAGGATTTAGCATGTTGCAGGCAGTCGCTGCACATCGCCAAGTACGCCGAGATGTACGGCCTCTCCAAAAACGCCTGCGAATGTATCGCATGGAGGACTGGCACAGGGTGGGGCCCAAGCTTGCGCCAAATTGTCAACGGCATAAAGTTCGCAGCTACAACACATAAGACATCTTAAGACCAGCTCGAGACCCTATAAAGTCCTTCAAAGTCTCAAACCTCGACACTCAAACCCCAAACGCACCAAATCCCTAAACCCCTAACACCCTACTGTATGCCCAAGAGCCCAAGCCCGAAAGCAACTGAAGGTCTACATCCTGAAATGCCATTTGATCTGTGCTACGGGGGAAAACGGTCGAGGAGTGGCTTCTTGAGAAGATCTACGACATCGTGAAGAAGGCCGATGACCGTGAGTGCGGGACCCAAGAGAGAGACTACACGGGGGGGGGTTACATTTAGGGGTTACGCTTTTGCAGGGTTACGATGGGTTTTATAGGCTTTTATAGGGCTGTGTAAGGAATTGCTGGGCACATGGGGGTCTGGATGATCAGCGTTATCGGGCCTCGTTCCCTTGTAGTAGAGACCCCCCCCCCCATCCCCATTTCTATGCTTCTATATGCAATCGGAGCTTGATTGATGGTTTGAGGGTTTAGGGTGTAGGTTTGGGATTTAGGGCGTGGTCGTGGCACAGACTTCGCGAACTGCCTCTTCCTCATGCCTGCCCTACAAGACGCAGATCTTAAGCGCCGATCGTGTTCTCGCGTTTAGGGTCAAGTTTGGGTTAGTTGGGCAAGGCTTCAGGGTTAAATATAGGAGCCTAAATAATTACCCATACTATTTTGGGCGCTCCTTCTTAACAATTGTAGTATAATGCGCCCCAAAACCCTATTCTACTTATCAAGGCCCCTAGATTAGCTGTGTTAACTCTTAACCCAAAAGCCTGAGCACCAAAGAAACCCTGCTCCCCTGCACTAATGCTCTGGCAGACCAAGAGACACCGAATTATGGGGTCCCAAGCGGTTCAGGGTTTAGGGGTTTAGGGTTTAGGGCTTCCAAGCTTGCGAGTTTGGGCCCAACCCGAAATCAAGCTTTTGGCCCCAAGCGCTCAATACCTCCGAGGTATCGTCAGGCCGCCGAAGCATACCTGGACTTGACGATTGGTAAGGCTGCGGCCCGAACATGGGTTGAGGGTTCGGTAATGTTCGGTATTTGAGGAGGGTTTCGGGTTTAGGGTTTATAGTTTACAGGTGTGTAACGACATTCGTTCGCCTGGGGCTTCACTTGGGCTCACAGCAAGCCCCTAAGCCTCAACCTGGGAGATTCGCATGCGCCAGGCGTCCTAGCTCAGACCCCCAAAAAAGATCTAAAAAACAGAGCCCCCCCTCCCCCCCCCCAAAAAAAAGTATGGAACCGCGAACATTATCCTCATACCCTTAAGGAAAAGGAATCTAAACATTTCTCACCCCTGATCCACGTTTTGACTTTTGCCCTCCACTCTAGGAGATCCGACTGCCGCGTTTATCCATCTGTCGTACCTACCTACCTACCTACCTACCTACCTACCTACCTGTGCTCGCTCACCCACACACACGCGCACACACACACACACAACCAGACGGACTCCCTGCTAGCGCACGCATCTGCGAGGCCGCGTGGCCAGTCGGAATCGGCTGTGGCGGTTCCATGCTCATGGAGGCCCTGTGCGGGTTAAGGAGGTTAGTGCTTTGGGAAGTCGGGCTCCGGCTGCACAGCTGAGGGCCTACGTACTCAGAGTCTTAGGTAGTATTCGGGAGACCACCCTTCTTAACGCTACTTCTTGAGAGGGTCTATATCCCCAAGGGTCCCCTAATCCTAACTCCAACGGAGGATCCCAACGACGCTGCGCGGTCTCAGAAATCCGAGTTTTGAGAATCGATCCAAGAGGGCTTCCAGTGACTATGCCAGCCAAGCCGCACAACACAACTTCTATTTGCCTAAACTCCAAACCAAAGACCAAACCAACAGCTCCCAACTACCCTTCATTATTACAGCCTAAGCACCCTCCACAGAAGACCAAAAGGCTTCTATGAAAGTAGACGAAGGCCTATCCCGAAGCTCAGTTTTCGTGAGAGGATGCCATCGGCTTGCACGACCGGTTCAACCGGAATGCACAGGTCAAGGACTGGGAAATATGGGTTTAGGGTTTAGGGTTTAGGGTTTAGGTTCGAATGGTGGACAGGTGAGCTGACCAATCTTTGTCTCATGATCCCAATTGGAATGGTCAGTGGTAACATTCCTTCGAGTTCTCAAGCTAGGTGTAACAGTGTAACACATCTCCAAACTCAGATTTTCTGCTACTTCTGGCCCTGTGTCACTTGCCGACCCCACAGCCAACCCGCCCCAGGTGCCTTTAGTTAGAGCCCTCATGCTGAGGGGCCTTTGAACCTGAAACGGCTTACAGAGCGCTGGGTTTAGACGTAATAAGAGTAAGTTAGTAGCTGAATGAGAGCACTCCTTAACTCTTTGGTATAATAATATTCGTTATAGAAATGAAAGTGTAGACTTTGGGGGGTGATGAATTCAGCAAATAAGATAAGGATCTCTGGAGACTGGCATCATGTGCCAGACTCATATCTGATTTCCGGCAGCGGAGTGGCCTTAGCTGTAGATCTTCAGCCCTGAATTGCGGGAGGATCCAAAAAGTAGGTCCCTTAATGGGGGTTCCTATAAGAAGCCTTTAGTAGTATAGGGTCCCAAGTTAGGGCTTCTACTTTCTAGATCCACCCTAGGGGGTCTGGGAATCCTGCATTACCTTGAGGACCCTAGAGTATGGGAGTTCTGGTCTATTCCCGATTGGGGGTAATGCAGGATTTATATCGTCAACCGTAGCTCTATGCCTGGATTTTAGTTTTTTTTGGGTCTAGGTCCGTGGTTTGTATTTCAGGCAGAACTTCTGCCGCATTCAAAACCGGAGTGAGGCTAGAGGCCGCGGACAATTGGCACCCTGTAAGTACGAGGTAGTTACCCTACCTTTCAGAGTAGATTGGGTTTAGAGGTTTGGGCTATGGGTTTGCCAACGCTCGAAGACTTCAAGTCTGGCTTTAAGCCTTCTCGGCAGGTGGTGACGTTTCAGTGGGGGAGAGGGGCTGAGGAATGTACCAGGTGGTGGGTTTGGGGTTAGGGCTTCGGGTTTGTGGCTTACTTAAGACTTAAGAGTCCTCTTGATTTTGAACATCAAGTAGACCTTAGCGCTAAACCCCAAGCCCAAACCCTTTAAACCCCAAACTAGCACCGATTGCGCAGGACGTGGCCTACGCTCTCAATGACGAGGTTACTCGCAAGTTCGTGCAGGTGCCACAATCTCATTACATTAGAGACTGCTGGAACGCCCAAGAAAGGTGTCTGATGTATTGATGTCCCTAAACCCCAGACACTAAACCCCTACACCGACATACCAAGCCCTCTTCCGCTTCATAGAGGCCCCTGTGTTAAAACCCTAAAGCCTATGTTAAGCCTTGAAAACCTTAAACCCCAAGTCCTGACCCCTTAAATTACTCAGCTTTCAGTGCTCGGCCCTGTAGCTCCGCTTTGAATGGATGCCTCGAGCCCTACACTGTAGATACACAATCGGCGCATATCGGCGCTAGTTTAGGATTTTGGGGTTAGGTTTGGGGTTTTGGGTACTTTAGGATTTTGGGTACTGTAGGGTTTGGGGTTTGGGGATTTGGGTACTTGAGGTTTGGGGTTTGGGGTTTGGGGTACTTTAGGGTTTAGGATGGTTGAACATTGCCACAGGGTCTGAGTAGTGTGTGCTAGGTTGGTAGGTAGACCGATAGACCCTCATGAGTCAGGGTTTAGTAGTATATAAACCCTAAACCCTTACAGGTTCGCCACATGGATTCGGGTGCAAGAGTGGGTTCAGCAAAGCTGCCCTTTTTCCACGTTGGGCAGGTTCTGTGCTTCCGGGCCTTCGACAAGACCCTGAACCCCAACTCCCAGCCCTACCCACAAACAAGGAAAAGACGTTAAGTTTTTAGCCTGAGGCCAAAGGCTTCGGCTTAACATTAACTCCAAACCCCGAGCCAAACATCCGAAGTCACAAATTTAAGCCCACAGGAAACGGACCCTAAACCCCAACAAGATAAGCAACAACATAGACCCCACACCCAAAGCACTGTCCCCAAGCGGCACAAACCCAAACCCTGAATTAGCTTAAACACTAAATGAACCCTAAATCCTAAATCCCAAATAATGAACCCCAAATCCTAAATAGGCCCCTAAACCTTACATGAACCCAAACCCTACATAAACCATAAACCCTAAACCCAAACCCTGCATAAACCCACACCCTAAACCCTAAACCCTTAACCCAAACCCTACATAAGTCACAAACCCTGAGTGAAACACGAAATACGGTTGATGGACAAAATCCTGCATGACCTTATATACCTAAACTATGGGATTTATGGTACTATACCCTAAACCCTAAACCCTAAACCCTAAACCCTAAACCCTAAACTACTATATTTGGGTCATGCAGAATTTTGTCCATCAGCCGTAGGTCCCCCGAGACTTTGCCAGGCACTGAAGCGGCTGATGAACGCGGCACAGAAGTTACTCGGGCCTCGAAACTAGGAAGGTTTTGTTTTAGGGTTTAGGGGTTTAGGGTTTAGGGTTTAGGGGTTTAGGGGTTTAGGGGTTTAGGGTTCATGGTGTTGGGTTAGGGTTCAGGGTGTTGGGTTCAAAGGTTTCGGGGTTTAATAGGGTTTAGGGTTTGGGATTTTGGGTTTAGGTAGGGTTTGGGATTTTGGGTCTGGGGAGTTCGGGGTGTCGGGTTTAGGGTTTAGGGTTTGGAATTTTGGGTCCATTTTTCAGGGGTTTAGGGGTTCGGGGTGTAGGGTTTAGGGTTTAGGTCATCGTTTTACGAGGGTTTTTGGGGAGCATCAGGGGTCGATGAATAGGATGCGATACTAGGCATGGTGGAGTTCATGGTGTTGAGGGATTGCAAGGTTTTTGCGCTTTGAGTTATCAGAATCATGTAGGCTGATCTATTATGGGTTCCCCGATCTGCTGGTAGTCTAGAAATTACCCAAAACCCTAAACTAAAGCCTAAGTGCACCACCCCAAACCTTAAAACCCCAAACTCTAACCCTAAACCCTAAACCCTAGTCCAATTATTCGCGGTTTAGGGTTTAGGGCTTAGGGTTTCTATGCCATATGTTAACATGCACCCTCACCCTGACCTGCGAATCCATGGTAAGCAAGACCTGAAGCCCTGACCGAAAGCCCGTTTAAACAAGCGAGACAAGCGTGGACCCTTCCGGACTCTACTGCAGCCGAGTGGCTAAAGCCCTGAACCCCAAACCTTACGCCTTCAAGGAACCCTTCTGCCTCAGCAGAGCCCTTTCCACACAAACTTGTGCCTTAAAATCCGAAGCCCACAGCTACCCAGGTACTGGCCGCCAGCCGACCCGTCTAAAAAGGCAAACTGAGCCAGGCACGGGGCCAAGGTTTAGGGTTTGGGGTGCTTCGTCGTTTAGTCAGCCCAGAAACGGATAGATATTTACCTAAACCCTAAACTCTATGAACCCTAGACCCTAGACCCCAAACCCTAAACCCTAGACCCTAAGCCCTATCAGGTCAGCCGCCGTTACAACATACAGACATCCCGTAGGGGCTAATTGGAGGGTCAGGAGACTTCTAGACTTACAAGCATCATAACCGCAAAATATAAGGTTCCTTTTTTTGAGGGTATTTATAAGTTTAAACCCTAAACCCCAAAACCTAAACCCAAAGTCCCCCCGACCCTCCAAGTAGAAGAGCACAGACGCGCTCGTGGGATTCAGGAGTCGAGGGTTCCGACAGTTTACCGTTTAGGATGTGAGTGTTAGGTTTATAGGGTTTAGGGTTTAGGGTTTAGACTGAGCTAGGGTTTGAGTGTTAGGTTTATAGGGTTTGGGGGTTTGGGTTTAGGGTTCAGATTGAGTTTTAGAGCTTGCGTGTCAGGTGTAGGGTTCAGGGTTGTCAGGGGGTTGTTCCAGTTTAAGGACGGAGGTGTTTTGAGATAGGGGCAGCACTATCGACAAGAGCACAAAGATCGCGACCCGCCCTTTGTCCCCGCAGGGCATCATGCAGTATCGAGGGTGTTCAGCCCAAAACCCTAAACGCAGGGGTTGAAAGAGATGGATGTCGAAAACATCCGCAGTCTGGAAGGTTTTGAGGTTCTGGGCGCTAAGCCCAAACCCTATGTTTTTTTCTCGGGTTTAGGGCTTTGGGGTTTCGGGTTTAGGGTTTAGGGCTTAGGGCTTTGGGGCATGACGACATAGGATGTACGGGCTGAAGGCTTCTGTCAGGGGCGCAAGAGCTTTGGGGTTAGGAGTTTGCTTGCAGGTTCATGAGACTTAATAAGTACAGCTATAAATACCTGAATTGACGTTATCAGTAAATATAAGTATAGTTACCTTATTCATAACCCTAGCTACTAAGTCCCATGAACCTGTAAGTTTTCTGATGCAGCCACTCCCAAGCATCATCCCCAGCGGCAGCCCAAGGTCGTTCGAGGATGTGTGGCCATCATGCTGCTACTTTACGAAGCACGTTGGTGATCATCTTGGTGTCAAGCAGGAAGCGAACCATGCATACCATGCGTGACGAAGAAACACAGGGCTTTAGCAGACCCGGGTACGTCAACAGCTTCGCCTTGGCTGTTCTCACCACCACGAGATCAGGCAACAAGTGTCAGGCACATTCGCCAGTTCCGGTGCAGAAGTGATCGAGTCGAGGAAGAGATTGAGGCTCTTCAATCGGCCAACAACTACCGCTCGACAAATTCGACAATGGAAGCACAGTGGGGCAGAAATTTTGGCCAACGCAGCTTTTGGCTGTTCATGGATTTCGATGGCTTAGGGCTGCGATTGCCTTAGTTCAGGATGCATCAGCTCTTGATTTGGGTCGAGCTGCTTTCAAGAGAAGCGTGGGTTTCGTAACTTCGGGGATATAGCAGTGAGGCGTGAGGGCTAAGTGCAAGCGCTCGGCACGGAAGACGACCGAAGCATGAGGCAGAGCGAGTTGAGTATTTTCAAATTCCGGGGTCCATCTTGCTACTGCTAATATTCTTCCCCGGACCCCTGTTCAAATCGTTCAGGCCCCTATATTTCACCCTAGGCTCCCAGAAGCTTCGCCCCTACCTGGGTTCTTGTTCAGGAATTCAACTTGAATTACTCCGAATGGGGATCTATCGTAAATAATGGGGGTTTCCTCATAATGGTAACTTAAGGAAACCCTACACCCAAAACCGTAAACCCGAAAGCCTAAACCCTAAACCCTAAACCCTAAACCCTAAACCGTGGAAGAGCCCAGCCACACCGATATTGCTCCTCGTCTCCCTGGACATTCTAAGCCCTTCACTAGGCGGAGTCGCAGTAGTAGTAGTAGTAGTAGTAGTAGTAGCAGCAGCAGCAGCAGTAGTACTAGTAGTAGTAGTAGTAGTAGTAGTTGTTGTTGTTGTTGTACCAGTAGCAGTAGCAGTAGCCGTGAAGTAATCGTAGCAGTAGCAGTAGGATCCTGTGACTTAACTAGGTTGTGAATCGAATTTAAGTGTTTTGGTTGCGGCAGTCCTTCTTGTATCCCCACCCTTTTCTCCAGTAGACAGCCAGTTGTTAGTTTTCGGGGAGTGGGCTTGAGCTTTGTTGCGTTTGGGAGTTGCAGGAATGCCGATGCGAAATTGAATCGCATCGCTACTGTCGAGTAGACGGCAGTGGCCGTCAGAGCCGGTTTTGAGTCCTTCAGTTTAGGGTTTAGGGTTTAGGGTTTAGGGTCCCCAAGCCAACCCAAGTCCAAGGGGGTCAGGGGCAACATATCATTTAGGACGGCGGTAAATGGTTGGGGGGAGGCCCTCCCACCCGCCATTGTAAGCAGTACCACATTATTCGGGCCCGATTTCGGAGTGGTTCGATTTTGCAAATGCAAGTTTCTGGACGTGGGCTCTTGTAAGAGGCTCCAAAAATCGAAACTTGCAGATCTTAAGTTTCGGGCGTCTTCATTCCCGAGCATTACGAGTACGTCTCAGCTTTTGACTTGGGTTCCTCGTTCGGGATTCCCTGCGGGCTTGCGAATCCCTCAAGCGGGCAAAGCTTCTGTCTAAATGCAGGTGTCCTGACCTACACTCCGCTGCTGCTGACGGCCAGACAGCACGAACCCTTTGCCCCCAGACTCGCTGTGTAGCCCCAACCCTAACTAACACCCAGGCCCCTGGACCCCAAAACCCCGAGCCCGCAACTCTAAGCCTAAGCCCTAAAGACCCCAAATCTCTGCTACTGTGCAAAGGCCCGGCAGTAAACAAGTTCGTATTGCTCGAAGTCTTGGGGGGTTCAGCTGGGGCAGGTTTGAAACTTAGAGATTATTTGAAACATATTATTTTCTGCTGATATTCGGACTCTGGGTTTGAGTATCTCAAAGAATATATCATGGATTCAATATGAATTCATCCTATACCTAAGCAAACATGCTGATAAAGATATCAGATCAGATCTTAATATCAAATTAATTATTTCATATACGATATTTTTATTATATGACTATTATCGAGCATATTCATAGATATAGATATTTCTTATATATATATATATATTTCTTATATATATACAAATATTCAACTTTTATTCTTATATGAATATTTCTGAAGATATATATATATATATATTTCTTGATTAGAAATTTCAAATAATATTTTGGAATTCGATAAGATCGAATTCTTGGATCTTTGAATCGAATTCCATATATAATGAAATTATTTTGGAATTAATTTCTTTACCATGCTCGGAGAATTCAAAATATAGAATTTAAGATTAATTTTCATATATAGAATCATAACACAGAAAACAAAGATTATTTATAAATCACAACCTCTTTAAATAAAAGAATTAATCGAAAATTATACGATTTTTATATTTATTTTCAATAGAATAAATATAAATAAAATAAATCTAATTGAATTTTTCTTCTTAAAAAAGCCTTCTATGATTTTCATTTATTGATATATTTTTGTTATTTTTTATTCATATAATTCGAATATTGGGAGATTTAGGTCATTTATATTCTTTAGGTATAAATTTTTGGATATAGAGAAAAATTTTGAATTTTGTAGTTATTGTTTAGTTATTATTATATAGAATATAGAAGATATTTTTAGAATAATATGAAGATGCCTGTCATATTAATATATGGATTTAGATATGAGAAATC